ATTATTTACGTTGGTTACGTTATGATAACAAAGTATTGTCCCACAAATTGTGAAAAATTAATTAAAACCCATATAATTCATCTATCCCATATCTCTATCTCGTCCCATCAACAATGTGGATTTGTTCACGTACCGGTAAAAAAATTAAATAGAAATAAGGCGAACAAAATCTCTTCCAAAAAATATTTATAAATATATATCGTATGAATAGTAGAACTATCAGACATTTACTGCTAAAAAAATATACTATTTTTTAAATAAAACAAATCTGAAATAAATATTTTTCTCTATGACCATTAATATAACCATCTCTATGATCATTAATAATATATTTATTCCTGCTGTATATTTAATTGACGAATTATATCGATTACACACCCTGTGGATTTCAGTTGGGAATCCACGGCCTGTCGACCAATCACATTCCTAGAATTTTCGAAATCACGGGCAGAATTGCTTTCTCTTTGCAATACTCTTTTTTTTTGAACGGCGATAGGCAAGTGAATGATTCGCAGTTTCATGTACGTAACCTAGTCATTGTTGCACTCGTATTTCTCGTTACGTTTCGAATTGATCATTCAATAGAAAATGAATCTTGAATCCAGTGAGAGTGGCAATTAAAAATTTGAACTGGAACTCTAATTCAGGAAACAGCAAATTCGACAATTCTACAATTATTAGAGTATGTCGGTAACTGAAGGCTATAAAGACGATTCTGTTACAAACAAAATGAACACTGCAAACAAAATATTTCAATATGTAGATATGAACAAAAACTTGTAAAATACCTTACCAACGTCATCCGTCATCACATACTAGTACTGATGTCAATTTTACTGAAGAGTAATAAGTATTTCCACCTGCAGTTCTTCATTCAGACTTACATGTATCTTATATTACAACACAGTTTGATGCAGATAATCCTTATACTTAAAAACAAAATCTGTTCAAAATATATTCTGAATATTTCAAGGTCGTAGAGGAAGTATAGTCTTCTATTCGCGCGTATTGTCTATTATTCACTAGTAGAAATTACGTCACTCGCTCCTACGTCGCTCGCGTTGCAAACATCAACTCGCGAATAATAGCCATCATTATGCGCTCGTTGAAGAAAACACTTTTTTCTGTTATATTATATCAATTTTTATTCGGCGGTTGATAAGAAAACATGCTGGTGGAAGCAACCTTCTACAGATATTTCTGCAGTATGCGCACCATCACGCTCCTGGGTGCGAAAATCCCGGATGCATCCCCCTTAGTTTTTCAGGATTGATCATCAGAATCCTTTTTGTCGCAAATTGGCCACTTAGGACCACGCGGACATACACCTGCACTTAACGAGGTTCAGTTACACTTTTCCCGCGGCAAGTGTTTGTGTCTCCTTTAGGGGGGATCAGCATTCTTATGCTGAATCCAATTTTTATCTCTCTGGGTCGTTAGTCCTCGAGGGGTGGGATATGGAATGATGATAATGAAGGATGAATGGTCGCTACATACAAACCCATCCCCGAGGCGGGACTCGAACCCACGATCCTTCCGTCCGAGATCGCCACGGCACTGCTGCCTTAACAATCTCGATAATCCGCATAGGCATAATTATTTCGATTGTTGTTATTATTATTATTATTATTATTATTATTATTATTATTATTATTATTATTATCACAAAAGCAGTAATGACCAAGATCCCCATCTGAAAAAGAGAGCCAAGAGAAGATATGCGCAGATTACACAGCAGTAGTTCGTTGTGGTTTTAACCAATATATTATATATAAAACCAACAAAAATATAATTTTCAATTAAAATATAAAATGTGTTTTTAATGATGTGTAAAAGTATATTTAAGTGCATTATAAACATGTAATTGTACGTGATGTATCAAAACAAAGAGACCATTTATAATGTCTTCATTTTTTATGTACCTCATTTTGGGTATCTGACCTTGAACATGGGCGAACACCACACCCAATGCCTCCGAACGCTTCCTGAACGCACTTCCGCTGACGGCGCGCGGTTCCCTTATCTCATTTCCAGAGATGGAGTGAGAGAGACGGCATTAATGTTTAATCGGAAGACATTCGTACGTTGCTATCACGGCTGGGACTCGTTGACGGCGTATGAAGTTTAGTAAGTGAAATATGTAAATTACGACACATGTGATCGACGCTCTTGTGTTAAATATTGCGCAAGGTGTATATAAACAATTGTAAGTAATATAGAAACTATTGGAAGAAGAACATCAAGAGTGATTTCGAAATTTCGAAATCAAAGCGAATAAACACTGTGAGATAAGGAGAACTCACCACATCCAGGAACGCTTTCAAAACATGCGCCGTGCATGAACTACGCCGAAACCAGCTATATATCTTCCGCGACTCAGAATGATGCAGCTGTTTGCTACTGCATCACCGACAGGTATGTAAAAGCCTCCAAGCAGTGACGAGTGCACGTGAGTCAAAGCCCCCGTTGCTCCCGCTGTGTCCTGGCGCGCGACCGCCCCTCCCCGCAACCCACGCACCTTTCGCCTCACCTGATAATTCGCCGGGTCATGGCAGCGCATTCCTAGCGGGCGCGCGGAGCGACCCCCCTCGCACGGCGCCGCCGAGTGGATCTCTCTCCGCGCACGCCGCGCACGCCGCGCCCGCTCCTTCCATTCCTTATTTCGTGTTTCCGGGCACTTCAACTGCAGTGGTTATCATTTCCGTAAGTGTAGTGCATTTTATGTCACGGGAGGTGGCGGTGTTTCCCCCACACAAACACGGGGCACCAGGATCACCTCTAAGCTCCTGATTGGTCTCCAGGCATGTGTGGTAATGTAGTGCATATACGTGTAAGTGTGTGTAAGTAAGGGGTGAGAATAGGACAAGGAAGAGGAAGAAAAGATCGCGCGAGGCTTATGGCGAGGCAAAAGTTAAAGCACTGTTTCGGCATTCGCCTGGTGTTGATCGGAGGAACTACCGAAAACCATCATCAGAACTACCAGCCGCTAGAATTCTCGTCCTAGCTCTGTAGCTAATGTCGTATATCCTGCAAGCGTCCGGATTCGAACCGTAGGACTTCCCGGTCCGAGGCAGTGCAGTGACATCAGCTGACGCCCTGAGTCACCTCAGCCGGTGCGCCCGCACTGGCCAGCGAGCGCGCACGGTACTTCGGCGAGCGCCGCGGCGGCGCCCGGCAGCGTGCCGAGACAAACGGGAATCTATGTCAACAAGCACGCGAAGTCCCGGTCGGACGCTGGAGAAATACGTTAAGAAGAAGGGATATTGGTGGTGGGGCGATTCACTGATATTCACACGTGAAAACCAGGTTTTATGTTTACCTCTCGTGGTTGTTGAGGTTGGGAAGATTGTTAAAGTAACAGTTTCGCCTTGTAAAAAACTTGAATTTTACATGGACGTAAAGGGGCCGGAGTGGGAAAAGTTGGTTTTTTGAAAATGTTTTGTTTTTTTTCTGTGCTGCCCCGAATCATGAGAACGTGGGGGGTTTTTTCCCCATTTTCCCCCCCCGAAATATAAAAGAAATGAAGAGTGGATGGTGTTATTAAATTGAAAGAACAATTTAAATGAATCCGATTCTAAGCTTTAATATCACGTGGCTCAAACGTTATGGACAACCGGCATATGGAGCCTGCATCTCCATATGTTTCTGAGTCCCGCTATTTATTTTCCTTGGTTTTTACTTTTACAAACATTTTGATAAAACACTATGGCAATAGCAATTTAAACCAATATTTCCAAACCACCTTCATTTTGGTGTTATAATATCAACAATACAGTATAAATATTATTTGATATAAAAGGCAGGAACATGCAAAGTATCTTCTTGTCTGAACAAATTAAATCGCATATAGAATCTGCTGTCCGCGTTTTGCAGTGATCAATATGCGCGGACCAACCCCTGCTATCGACCACGGAGCCGCCGAAGTAGAGACACCGGTGCCAGGAGAGAACGACTTCCCCGGTTCGGAGCGCCGCATTCCCCCGCCAAGGCGGCTGCCTGCGGGCGTGTCGACTGATCACCGTGGGAGCATCGTGACGGCGTATCTACACCCATCAGAGCGCTCTCACCGCTCCTCGGGGTGCAGACATGCTGCTGTACCAAGGGCGTGCTGGCCGCGAGAACGCGCCGGCCTGGGCCAACCGCCACGTGCCACAACGGGAGGAGGAGCGCAGCGGGTGGTGGCGGACCTCAACGCGTGGAAAGCCTTCGTCACTGCAATCGCTGCCCGTGCTTTGCCTGGGCCGTTCGCCGGCTCGTGGCGACTACCACGGCAGGCCGGCGCAAGCCGCTCATACCCTGCTGCCGCCGTCGGCAGCATCTTCGTCAACGTGTGCCTCGCTAGCTCAACGCCTTCTTCTGGGAGTGGCCGCGCTGCGCGACGCGGCGCATGGGCGAGTCGCTGCCGGCATCACGCGAGGATAGATACAGGACCAGGCAGGGCGTGCTCAACATCGCGGGTGATGGGCATACATGGCCGACATCAACCACGCACGCCGAGCGCACCGCCGCGCCTGGGGGTGGTGATGGCCTTCTGCTTCCTGGGCTCCCATCGGGCTGGCGCTGGTGGCGTGCTCAGCCAGACGCTGGGCCTGGGTGGGGCTGTTTCGGACGTGCGGGCCTCGTAACCACCCTGGCGTTGTCTAGTGGCGTCCTGGTACGTCCGGGAGACTGGGCGCAAGCGGGCGGGGGCGGGGTCCAGGCGGCGGCGGCGTTGGCGGAGGGCCGCCGCCGAAGCACAGCGCTACAACACGACTA